AAAATCCAAAATGAGAATATAAAATTTCAACTTTTATTTTAAAACTGTGGTATTGGCGGTAGTGAGATTTCAAATTCCAAAATTAAAAATTTCAACTTTTATTTTCAAACTGTGGTATTGACGGTAGTGAGATTTGAAAATCCAAAATTGAGAATATAAAATTTAAAATATTAATATTTATTTGTGGAATTGACAGTTGTGAGATTGAAACAGATATACACAGTACTCCAGGTATACAGATATATAAAGGACTACAGATTTACCCACAACTCCAGCTATACAGATATTTAAATGACTCCAAAGATATACACAGTACTTCAGGTATACAGATATAAACAGGACTCGTGGTATAAAGATATGTAAAGGACTTCAGCTATTCACAGCACTCCAGATTTACAGATATACACAGGACTCTTAGTATACAAATATGTAAAGAACTCCAGGTATATAGATGTATACAGATATACACAGTACTCCATGTATACAGATATACACATCAATCTAGAAATATAAAGGACCCTTGATATAAATATACAACTATATAAAGGACACTAGATCCCTACTAACTTTCCGACCTACTGCAATATCGGACCTTGGACAGCTGTTTACTTTTTTAGGTTAGGACAATTTCTGGTCAGAGCCCTGCGGCTAGGGGGCCAAGCGTCACGGCTAGGGGGTTGGGCGCTAATGGCCCAAAAGTCCATATAGCAGATGGAAAACCACGTGCTAGTAGGTCGGATGTGTAGTATGGCGGATTTGGTGTAGGTCAGAAGTGGAGTACAGCTGATTTGTGTAGATAGAAAAATACACTACCACAAAGAGTGAAAGGGAAGGGAAAAGTAGTGAAGGAAAGGAGAAGGTTGGGAATACAACATAGCTTATTATTATGAAGACATAAGAGATGTTTACCATAAATGTTTTTATTTTTAAATTTTTCCAACAGTTATTCTAGGTTTCTTTTGTTTATTTTTTTTTGTAATATCACATTTTTTCTTCAGTAAACTCAAGAAACATTACCCTTTTTAGCCTTTTTTGCGGCATATACATTTAGAATGAACAGAATTAAACAAACAAATCCGTAAGTTTAAAGATTGTTAAATAGAGACCAAAACGAGTAGGATGTCAAATAACTCTGGTTAGTCCGGGGTGTACTAATGGAGGTTAGTTTTCAAGCATTTAAAGTTTTAGATGTTCCAACAGAATCTGAGATGTAAATATTGCTTTAAAATTGCAAATTGTTTTTATGCTTAAACGTGCTGAAAAAAAATCGTTTTGGTTAATATCTTTGATCAGAAGAAAAATAATGTAATACAAGTAATTAAACTAATTGAGAATACAATTTTACTTAGTAAGTAATTACACCAGGTTTTCGTGGAGCGCTTTAAACATTAAAAAATCCGTACATGTCACAAAACGGAACTCAAAACGGAACTCAAAACGATGCTCATTATTGCCAAGTTTGAGAAGAAAAACCACGGTTATGTTTGTTCTGACCTGAAAGATTTGAGATTGCAGTCACATCTCCAGGGGTTCCTATGAAGCTCCAAGGACTTTAAATTGGTCAGAGATAAAAATACCTCCTCCTTCATATAAAAAAAATAAAATAAAAATTTTGAAAATGTATTTCTTAATCTAATCGTGCATACTGCAAAATGTAGAAATAAACAATAATGCTGTGCTCAGTATAAACTTCCTAAGGATTCAGAGAAAATCTTAAAATTCAAAGATTACAAAAACAACAAAAAATAAAAAAACCCACTTTTCTTTAAACAAATGTATTCTGTTGAAAAGTTAAATCCCACCCAATACCAAATTTGTATTTGGTAATTTTCCACATACCCTAAAAACACATTAATATTAGTCTGCGATGTACTTCAATATCTCCAGGGTACAATAAATGTTAGCTATG